TCTGCCTTTGGAGTCACTTCCTTGGGCTTCCTGACAGGTAAGCCCTGGATCACGAGGGCTGGGAGGTGTCAAGGTCAGGGTGAGGCTTTCCGCCCGAAAGAACCCACATTCACGTGTCTTCGTGTTCCTGCCGACCCACATCCCTGCCAGTGCCTCCTGCACTTTGACGGGCTACGTCTCCACTCCAGTCAGATCAAGGTGAGCGGCAGTCGACAAAGTGGCCTTCCCAGGTGCACGGCTCGGTGAAGGGGGCCACAACACACGCCTTGACAGAGGAAAGTGATATTAAAAATCAGCCTCAGAGTCCCAAACTGGGGTCGAACTAGCACTGAAAGTTTTCTAGTAGGATCTGGGAAATTATCTTCCTGCTTTCAGAGGAGCTGGCACTTGGCCAGAGAGATTATGAAGCCGCCGGTGGGCGTGGGAGGGCAAGGAGCCTTTCTCATTCAACTTGACTTCCCCCGGAGGACTGGGTAAAAAGTGCCTGGCAGACGATCAGGAGATTTGCACTGAATAGAACCGTATCTGTTGCCCTGAAGACCACACGGCAATTAACGCCTGCAAACGGGGAGGACGGGCCGACACTTCGCTAGGTGCGTTCTGAACGACGATTATGTTGTTAGAGCGGTGGAAGACCCCATCCCTTCAGATCAGGTGCCGAACCTCAAAATTCCGAAGTCTGGGTCTTTTATGCTGCACAGAAGCGGCATGCAATTCAAGCACATCATCATCGCTCACCGCGGTGCTTACAAACAGGCCTGATGAAGGCGGGGACGGCGCGTGAGAGCGCAGATGCGGCGACTTCACGACGAACGGCACAAACAAGCCTCTAATCATGGCTTCACTCAACTTCCTTCCCTGCTGCAAATTCTGAGCCATGTTTAGACTTTGGCAGTAACATGAATTCTTTCTTTTCACAAGGAAGAAAAAAAAAGCCGGTTCTCTCACATTCATCCTCATCTAACGTGGTTTAGGGGAAGTCAGCGATGACATGGGGGAGGTGCTCTGAACTTGGAGTCAAAAAGGGGGTTTAGGCTAGCCCCACTACGCTCAAAGTGTGTGGTCAACAGGATGACACCTGTCTTACCTAGAGCCATGGGTAGCACCCTTGGTTCTACCCATGAATAGTGCCCAAGACAAGGGTGAGAATGCATGTAATTTGTCTGGAAGGGCATTCTAGGACACACTGGTAGGGGTTCTGGGAGAGGAGACAGGGAAGAGCAGGGAGCCGGTACAAGGCGCCTTAATGAGCAGGTTTCCGGGAAGGCAACTGGGGCACAATCCTATTGGGGTTGTCTTCAGCCAGTATCTGGGGACAGATCTGGCCTCCATTTCCCATCCATCCCTGGCTCAGGGCGGGCCCTGAAAGCGTTAACTCCCTGGACATCTGGCCTGCTCCTTGAGCTGGGTGAGAGCTGCAGGAGCTCTTAGTAAGATGCTTATTCTGGAACCGGGGATGCTCTGGAGCTATGGGTGGGCCACTGGATGGCATCTACCACACCTGGCCCCTAGGACTGTCCTGACAGGGAGTAAAGGCTCTGGGAACCCTTGGGAACAGATGGAGTAAACGGAGGGAAACTGAGGATGAGGAAGGCCATTCTTAGGGCTCTAAAATCCTCTCTGGATTAAAAAATGCCTCAGTCTCAAGAGGATCCATGGGGTTAGGCCTGGCACATTACTTTAGAATGGTTCTGTTTATCTGACGCTCCTAAGTTTGCAAAATGTAGTTCTTCCAGCCTGGAACAACATCGTGAATTTGCTTCAGTTCACATTTCTATTGTCAAGGCTAACTGCTGTTTACCACACAGTCTGCCTTGACTTACGTCATGGGAAACCATGAGTAGATGAAGATGTTCTTAAACCTGAACAAGCTGTATCACTCACTAATTCAGTACGCATTTACCAAGAGCCAGTCAGGAGCCAGGCAGCATGCTGGTAACGTGAGTAGCTTCCCAGAACTAGATTGGCCCTTAAACCAGCCCCAGGAGGCAGGCACTGTCCACAGGAGAAGGCTGAGACTTAGGGACATGAAGTGACTTGCTCAGGAGCAGATCTTGCAAAAGGAGCCCCCCATGCTGGGGCTGGCTCTGTCTGTCAGTCAGCTCTGTTGTGAGCCCTGCTATCCACTGTCCCCTCTAAATAAGAGGGCAGGAGGCAAGGGAGAGAGAAACAAACAGGGGGACAGGCAGTGTGAAGGACATGGCAGAAAATCACATGGTGACTCCACTGAGAAGCCTTTTGCAAGGCCAATGGCATGAGGAGATTTAGGAGCTGGTAACCCCTGGGGTGGGTGCAGACCTACCTTCTGGATAATTTCTGGAAGGTCCCAGAAGACAGAGTCGGGGTCAGCTCCCCTTGGAGGGGAAGCGGGAACCCAGAGAGAAGGAATGACCTCACCATCTCACGGCAAGTCAGGGCCCACCCCAAGCAAGTCCGTTCTCCTGTCTGGGCCTCTGTTTCCTTCCCCTCCACGACATGAGATGATAACCGGAAGCCCTTCTGGCTTACAGGGCCCGTGCAATATTCCTCCACCCTGGCAGACAAGGCTCCTCTGCAACCCCATGGGTTTGGATAACTATGGTGCTGATCTGAACATGCCCTGCGCACAGCATCCCTCTGCTGCCAGGATCCATGTCTGTTTGGAAACCATGCAAATAGGAGTATCTGCCAGGCCCAGCTCTGACAGCTGGTAAAGGCTGAACGCAAATGTGGTGAAGGGAGAACTCGGGCAGTGGCTGGCACTGCCACTGATCAGCTGCGTGTCCCTGGGGGGCACCTCCCTTCCTGGGACCCCAGTTTCCCCATTTATCCCATGAAGTAGTGAGACAAGGTCATCTCTAAGGCCCTGTCCCTCCGACAGCCTGCATATATCATTACCTGTGGGTATCAGCTGTAGGGTAGGTGGACAAGAAGGCATCAATGGGGTTACAACTCACCAAGGAAATCTGGATTTGCCCCAGAAAAGTGTCATCGTTTTTGACAAGGTGTTAATCATAATTGCTGCTACTTGCTGAGCAAGAAATACATGCACATATTTCTCTGTATGATCTCATCTAGTTCCTCCCAGATCCCAGGAAGATAAGTAGGATTACCCTCTTCTTACTCGACAGATGAGGACATCAATGCTCAGAGAGGCGAGGTCACTTGCCTGATGTACTATAGCGACTTAACTCAGGGGACCCAGACCTGCCCCAGTTACTATCTGTTACAGTGCTCTCCTAATCAGTGCCTAAAAGCAGGCACTGGATTTGGTGTCTAATCCTAACATCGGGGGAAGAAAAGGCAGTAAAATTGGCATGCGCTTATAGCTGTGATTGGCCAATCAATATTTTACAAAATATTGCCCTAGAATCATATAATTTGAGACCTGTAAAGGTAATAAGAGAATTTAGTTGCAATCACTCAAAAAAAAAGTAAATATCTTTGCCAAGATGCTTACTTGCTTCAACCAGTGAAAAAGTAAGACTTAACAAATGGGAAAATAATTACGTTTGCCTAAAATTACATCTTTTGTGCACGCCAGAGAGCTGACATGCGTTTCAATTACCTGCCGTGGGAAGACAAATGGGTAAATCTACAAGATTGCATTACAGAGCGATAGTGGCCAAGGACACCTCCCTTGATTGATCTGAATCCAGTGGGGATATGTCTGAATGAATCTGAGTAACCCGATTTCATTTCTTGCTTTCCCCTGGATGACTTTGGGATCTGCTCAGAGTGAGATGACACAGAGGCACGGCTTTCAGAAACATTCAGGGGCTGAAAAGCACAGCAGCGATGAATGACCCGTCTAGTGCTTTTGGCTAACGACCCTGCAAGGGACCATACTGAGCCACACTGAGGTGCCTGCCTTGAGGAGTGCCCGGCCCTACTCCTCACGGGTGCCCTGTGGGCTCTGACAGGCCGCTGCCCCTCTGCACCTCTGTTTCTTCCTCATCACATAGGAAACTTGGTTGGGGCGATTTCTGAGCCCCTTCCACCTCTGACAGTAGCGAAGTCCAACAGCCCTGGCCGGGTAGCTCAGTTGGTTGCAGTGTTGTTCCAATGTGCCAGTGTCGTGGGTTTGATCTCACATCAGCACACGTAAAAGCAGCAACCAATGAATGCATTAAGAAGTGGAACAGCAAGTCAATGTTTTTCTCTGTCTCCCTCTCCCCACTCCCCTCTTCTCTCTAAAACCAATAAATAAAAAAGAATGTAAAAAGTCCAAATGACTTGGCTTCTTAAAAAAAAATAAATAACTGGCCTGTGTGTGAGGTGCTCACAGATAAACAGAAACTATAGAGACACATTAACCAAATACAAAGAAAGGACCTTGGGTGGATTCTCCAACAAACCAACTGTAGAGACATTTTTGGGATAATTGGAGAATCAACATAGACTGGAACTGAAAGGATTTTAATAATTCTTACATGCTTCAAGCGTGATAATAGTATTGTGGTTATGTTTTAAAAAGTCCTTATTTTGTAGAAATGCATACTGCGGTATTTATGGACTGGAATGAGATAACGTCTGGGAGCTGCTTTGCAATGTCACGGCAAACAGGGGTGGGGGTGACAGCGTGGGTCAGGAGAGGGTGGGACTGGCCACACGCCGGCAGGGCCAGTGCTGGGTGACGGCTGGATGGGCTCGCTTACCATTCCGTCAACCTCACAGTCATCAACCTCACAGTCGGAAAGTTTCTGTCGTCCGACACTGAAACAACACAGGGTTTCCCAGAATACTGGAACTGACTTACTGCCCCCACCCCCCGTACTTCCGTGGGTCTCTCAGGGTCACGTGGGGAGGCTGAATTGGCCTGAGAAGTCATAGAGCTGGGAAAAAATATTCTCAATACGTTGAAACTAATGTTTTCACAGAGAAGCGTTTTCTATTGACGATGATTTCTCTTACCGGGAACATCATACTTCCATTTGTTTTTGATGTATTTTTACTGCATAAAACGATATCCCTGAATACAGAATTCATCAAGTAGAAAGAAGCAGCATCAAAAAGCCTACCTTGAAATTGAGTAAATTTAATGGTCCCCATTCTCTCCCCGTTCCGGAACACAACTTGACCCTAAAAACAAAACAAAACAAAACAAACAAGAACAGAAGAGAAATGCTGTATTAGCTCAGACACTACAGATCTCCACTGAAATTCATTTAACGGTACAATGCAGTTATTAATATGAGAGGAAAAACAGACTCCTGCTAGGTCCTGCCAGGCCACCGATGCAAAATTAAACTAATTGTTTTTAAACTGGCTGTGTCCCTTTATCTGGTTAATTTAATGAGCACAAAACCCATAATGGAACGAACACAGGTGAATTAAAGCCAAGATACTTATCATCATCGTCATCCCCGCTATTCATTAAACATCCGCATGTCCCGTGATAACCCGGACCAAGGTCTTTCGGGGTGCTGGCGAGACAGAGGCCGGGGCGAGGTCCATCGAGCCTGGCCCTAACTGCCCCCGCCCCACCCGTGAGGATGTGTAGCTTTGCCGAGGTGATTTGGCTGGAGGACCAGAAGGGGGCTGGAGGTTGGTTAGCAGTTCTTATTAAGAGCAGAGCATGTTTTTGTAAGTTCTTCCTGAGTGATGACATCAGCCCCAATTATAACAGGGCTATGGGGCAGCACAAAATTAAGCTTCTTGAGCCCGTGACATGACTAGTGTCACAGGCAGCTGAGCACCTTTGTGAGGGACCCCGGGGGCTAAAGATAATGAATGTCATTTGCACATCTGCTTTGCAGGCTGATGCCAGGGTTCCAGACGCTGAGCAAAACACACTGGGAACGTGAAGGAGAACTGTGGTCTCTCCTTGCCAATTTATGGGCCGCCTCAACTCCTACAGCCATGCAAGGAAATGGACACACATTATGTCAATGGATCTTACGACAAGCTTGGGTGGAAAGGGGGATAATCCTGATTTTACAAATCAAGAAACTGACTGAGGGAGGTGATGCACTTTATGTGAGGTCATTGTAAGCCGCTGGAGTTCAGGTCCGAGCTTGATGTTAATGACCGTGCTGTTTCACGGTAGTGTGTTGTTTCTGGTCCAGAATTAAATTCCTCCCCATCATCTTTCCATATTGAGAAACCAGGAGAAGAAGCGGTCTCGAAGGCACACTGCCTTAATCTCAGCTGTTCTCCCACGTTGTGGGGTAATAGCCCAAATTCAGGTCCCGCTGAAACCTCGGGAGAAAGTGCCAGAAAGCATCTCCCTTTGGTGGAAACCCGAAGACTGAGGCCCTCTGGCCTCCGGCACAGAGAGAGAATCACTCAACCTGTTCTCAGGACAAGAAACGCCTTCTGAGGCCACTTTGACAGCTTTCTGAAATCCTGAAGACAGCTGTGAGTAGTATCAGTTTGAAATCAATGCCCACCGAAGTCTATATTTAGGTGCCGGTAAGCAATCCCCTGGCGTGTGAAAACACTTCAGTGTAAGGTGAGACAGGAGCTGTGATTTTATTTCTAGGGATGATTGAAAAACACAGAACACCTTCCAAAAAGGATCATTTTTATGCAAATGGGCCACTGCATGGGAAGGGGGGGAGACGCAGACACGGCCCCCAAGGAGGACATTCCTTTGTCTGACAAGGGTGGAGGTCTACCTAATTCGCCCATCTCCGGCCGAGCTTTGAAGGATTCCAAAGACTTCTAGATATAAAATGCGGACAAATTCTGCAGAATCCTTACTCGTTAAACTATTGCAGAAAGCATATGGAACAGTATTCAAGGCTTCGACGGAATGAGGTATGGGGTGGGGTGGGGTTGGGGTGGGGAAGAGAAAGAATCTCCCTGTACTTCGCCCCCTCCCTTTACCTTTTAACAGAATGAATTAGTTCACCTTTGAAGTCAGACCTGTCACACTCTAGTTTTCACTCACAATAACCATTTTTTTCTGGCCACAGCTCCTCCCAGCTCCTTCACTTCTCAGGTAATGCAGTGCGGGAGGCCAGGTCTGGGTTAGGGACCTAGCACCGCACCCCGTCTACAACAGGCACTCCGTAAGTGGCAGTAGCAGTTTTATTAAAAAATGTTTCATAGAAGAGAGCTGAAATAAACGAGATTTTTTAAGCCCTAGAAAGCTTTCCAAGCCTTGGGAAGAGACCCTCCACGTCGAGTGATTTCCGCTGGTGCAAGGGTGAACTGCTGGACCTTTACCCAAGGCGTCCTCATCTCGCAGAGACATCAGCCCCCAGGAGCCCGGGAGACTGCGTTCTCAAACCACACTGCACGGTCTGCCACGGGGGAGATCCGAGGACTCCGGGGCGCTGGGTCACAGTACACACACAGGTGGGCAACTGGCTGTGCTGAGGGTCTGCACCAGAGAGGAAGCCGAGAAGCTCCGTGAAGCCCCCGTCTGAGGAAGGCACGTCCTGTGATTCTTTCCTGAAGGAGGCACCGTGGCACCTGCTGGGCTGGACCGCTGAGGCCGACTCTGCTACCCGGACCATGGCTGATGGGACAGGGAACGTTATCCCAGCCAGGCCAACCTCTTTGAGACTGGACACGAGGAAAGCCCACACACTGATCAGGTGATTTTCATGAAATTCTGCCCACTATGGGTCCTCCGTGTGAGAAGGTGGTCCATTCACACAGAGCTGCACAAATATTTACCCACCCTGTGCCAGGTACTCTTGTAGGTGCTGACTCCAGCTTTTTCAGAGCTTCATATTTGATTAGGAGGAACAGACCAAACAAGTCTGCCCATGAACGAGAAAGATAATTTCAGTGAGTGAAGAGTGGCGTGAAGGAAATGAAAAGGGAATGGCTGGGAGGGGGGGCAAGTGTATGTGCGGTCGGGAAAGACCTCACTGCAGAGGGGATGTCGGTGCCGAGGCCTGCGTGGTGAGAAGGAGAAGCTCCAGGCACAGGGAAAGCCGCACCCTCGGGTGGGAAAGGAGCAGAAAGGGCCAGCCTGGGGAGCAGGGAGGTGAGCCGGCCAGATCCCCTTCTACCTGGAGGTCATGATAGGGCTCTGGAGCGCAGTCGAGAGCCGAGGGGTGGGGCTTAAGCAAGTAAGTACGGTGATCTGAGTTAGCATTTGAGGAGATTGCTCTGGCTGTGGGGTAGTTAATGAATGGCAACACGGCAAACTAGGCAGCAGAGGAGCTGGGGCCTTCCGGCAGCCAGCAGCCCAAAGGTGAGGTGATGGTGGCTTAGGCTAGGGTGGTGGCCAGATTCTGTCTCTCGCCAGCCCAGAGGGCATTGCCGAGGTGGCCAAGCACTGTGGCCTGAGCCGCTGTGGACTTTCCGTTCCATACTGAGCAGTGGATGCGTGGTGTGCTGCCTGATGCTCCCTCGGGATGAGGGCCCTCACTACCCGGCAGCTGACATCTGGCTGCTGCTGAGTTGCCCTGCACCCAAAGATGTCAATTAAGGGTATGCTCCTCCCTGGGGGCCAGCCTACACTCAACAGTCAGTGTGAAGGGACATCGTTCTAGCTCCCACAGCTCGGTTCAGGACCACTCGGGATCCCGAGGCCCCGTGGGGTGGCTGGGGCTGCAGTTGCAGCTACATCACGTCCCAGCGTGCCCCTCTCTGCCTGACCCCGCTTCACTGCCTGCCTCCCTCTTGGGTTTTGTGCCCGAGAACACCCCTTGATAAACTTCCTGTACACTGGTCTTTGTCTCAGAATCTGTTTCCTGGGTAACCCAACCTAAGACACTTGCCGTCACAGGTCCCTGGGACTATTTCCTGCCACCTGAAGGGGTCTGCGGGGAGAGGCTGCGGACTCCGAAGGGAGGCCGTGCGGCACGGACCCTGCTCCGGCTTCACCGTAGCCGGGCAGCTCGGCCGGGCTGGCTGTGCTCTCTCAGACCCCACCCAGCTGGAGCAGGGATTTCTTCCTCTCCTTCCCACACACGTATTCTTTATTTATATATAAATAGATAAGTTTATTTGAATGCCATATATATAAATGCCGTGACTCTCCGTAAGCTTCCGCCGTGTGCGATCCCAGGGCTGTGACTGAGGACCCTCACATCCACTCGAGAGCAATCCGTGAGACTGACCCACAGCAATGGAGTGCAGCAGCTCTAGCTGCGGTGACAGTTGATGTCTGTCTATTGCACACAATCCACACTCACTCTAGACCCCCGTGTTGCAGGGGCCCAAAGCCTGGAAACCACATTTCCCAAAATCCCCTGCCTGCTGGTTTCCATTTAGATTCTGCTAATGAGCAGCATTCATGGGAGATTAGAAAGTGTGCATAAGGGAAAATCTATTTGTTTCTGCCTTGGTTGCCGCAGCGGGAGCACCAGGTGACCGCAGGTGTCTGTGGGCCTCAGCCGCCCTGCCCGGGCAGTGTAGGGGCACTCCTGGCCGCCTGCTCAGGGGCCAGTGGCAAGGGGGCCTCTCTAGAACAGTAGACAACGTTGTTGCAGGACCCCCAGAGACCAGTGCGCTTGGGTCCCCAGTATTTGATCTGCATTCCAAATCGTGGCTGTGGTCATTCTTATACACTGCTCGGACGTTAGAAACCATCGCCAATCAGTGGGCAGGTGAGATGACAGCCCACTCCAGGCATCACAGAGGCAGGGGCGACGCTGCTCCCCGTTCTGTTCCTCCAGCCCAGGGGGCTCGGCTGTTTCTGTGAGCACTTGTCTGCAGCGACAGCTCCTCCACCCCGACCACCAAAGTTGTGACCGGTTCCCTGTTTGAAGTCTCCCTAGGAAATGCCCGATGCGGTCCGTTTTCTTGACTACATGCTGATTGGTTGTGAATTCCACCTTCTGGGGAGTATGTAAGAATGGCCACGGGGCTCATCAGGGATGAAAATAAAGTAATGGAGGTAAAACCCCAGGTGGATAATTTATAAGGATTTTTTTTTCCTGAAAAGGATGTTGCTCGTGTCAGGGAAAGCAGACTGTTTCACAAGAGCCAATTCACACACTAACAGTTCAGGCTGCACTAGGAGCCATAATGCTGCATTTTCTCTTTCAGAGAAATCTTCGGAATGCATGAGATAAGGTGGAAAAAAACTGAGACGCAGCCTTCGCCAGACAAGAGTAAATACTGGCGTTGGTGTGACCTTGGACAGTCACTGAGTGTTTCTGAGCGTCAGTTCC